TATTTCTGCAACGGAGTCCCAGGAGGGTGCTTCATCCCTTCAGCGAGCACCATGGCTCTCACAGCCACGCAGGGCCACTGGAGTCAGCAGTTTAAGAAAAGGTAAGATTCAGCCAAGGGTTTCATGTTAAAAAAGGACAATAACAAGCAGGGGAAAATTTAGGTAATGCTACAGAAGCTTGAATAGTAAGATCTAATTCAGACTGAAATAGCTATTCCTGGAAAGTGGCAGGAGTCCTATTGCAAAAGTCACTTCAAACTAAGCGGTGATCGTACCTGACACAGGGAGAAGGAAGGAAGGTTAAGTTAGTGTTTCTCTTTCTCTCGGTCTTCGATCCCCAGAACAGGCAGATTGTCCTAAACCAGTAAAATTCTCTGCACTTTCCAGCACTGGTTAATCCTCAGAGTCACCTCAGTCACACACTCGCTTTGCAAAGCCATTTGCTGGAGATCCGTAGACAGCGTGGTTAGGGGAACAGGGGCAGAGGGCTTGAGCTAGGACTGCCAGCCCCCCACTCCCCACCCCGCTGCTCTTGGGGGACGCTGCACCAGGCCCCCAGCCAGCCCCAGCCCTAGCCCTCTGCACCTTCTCCCAACAGCTATCAGACCCCAGGAGATGATGACAGCACTTTTGGGAGACATGAGCAGCTGAGCCCAGCTACCCACCCACCTCCCCAAAACACACTTCAGCTGCACCACAATCTTTCGCTTCCTGACCACGCTCTCTACCATGGCTTAACTTGGATTGCATTTCTATAAATCACAACTCGCCTCTACGCCTTGACACTTTCCCCCTATGTATGAAGAATCCCTAATGACATTGCGCGCTCAGAGATTTTTTGTTTTGCTTTGGGGTTTGGTTTTTTTTTTTTACTGTTGCTTTCTTGATCTTTTCCAAGGTGTTTTTTCAAGGACTTTTCACAGGCTTGTATTGTCTGGTGGTGTAGAGCCCTTGAAATCATTACAATGATAGGAGCTATCTAAACACTTAAGCTAAAACCTACAAAATTCTAAAGGAACACACTGGAAAATAAAATCTGTCCTTGAGGCCAAGGGGATATTTGCCAAAGCATTTCCCATCCCCTCTTCCAGCCTGTTTTCTGCTGGTAAGCTTCACCAGGAAAGCAAATTCTCCAGCACATTTGTGAAGTGCCCACTAACCATGCCATGTAGCTTTGCAACCCTGAAGTCATCCAAATTCCTTGCCCGCAAGATTTCTGGGGCAGAGAAATGCAGGCGTATAAATAGGATTATTTAGCATGCAACACATCAGTAAGCAGTGGGACACCTTCCATAGGTCACAGCTCCATCTACTGACTAGTTCACAAAATAACAGTGTGGAAACCCTCGGGGAAAGCTGTTCGAAGCAAGCCTCGTCCCCTCGGACCGGGCTTTGGACACACGGCTCTTTGCAAGCATTTAGAAAGAATCCCAGCACAGCAACTCAGCCCAAAAGGGAGAAGCAAATATTCATTTTCTGCAAAGAAGCCTCTTTGCATAGCAACAGGTCTGGGGTCACGATTGAACCTACAACCGTGGGTCCTCAAATTGTGGTATTTTAGTATTTCTGGAATTACCGCTGCAGTGGTTTTAACAGAAGAGTTACTTAAACAAAGACAACACGCGCTTGGAGCTAAGCACTCTGGCAAAGTTAGGGTCCAAGCATAAAAGGGAAAACATTGTGTTCGTTAGATCTGCTACTATCTGAAGTGTGGCAGCAGCCGAGCGCCATGTGATAGGAAAAAAAATAAATGTCATTTTACAGAGAAACTGAGACTAGACCACTGTCACATGTGAAATCTGAGGAAGATCAGGGAAGTGGATATGGATCACTCAAGCCACATCTCCCACTGTAACCACTAAGCCCTTCTTATGTGCACAGAGTATCTCCCTGAACCATAAAGGAGATTACCCCTCCCATTCACACAGAAGAAAAAAGAATAAAGAAAAACAGTGCAATGATTTATCTGCCCAGAGGGAAACAGTCTTCTCTAAAGCTCAGAGGAGACCTTGCCCTTGCAAGCCTCTTGTTTGCTGATGAGGGCTCCAGATGAGTGCTGTTCTGCTTACTGTGTTTCATTGCAAAAGAGGCAGAACTGAATCAGAGCCTTTTAATGACTTAAATACGTAAACTAATTTGTCCCAAATAGCAGCAAACTTCAACCAGAAAACTGCCCACAAGAAAGCTGGACACCACAGGGCCTGCCTGGTTTAGAGCTGTCACAAGACTAACAGACATGAGAACAACTCTCTTTTGGGGCCAGCAGAAGAGAAATACATAATACTAACCTTATTTTACAGTCAAAGGGAAGAGTTTGAGAACCAGCTCAGGCTTTAAGCCATCGGTATGATGCAGGAGATTTAATACCCAAGCTCCCATCACCACACCCTGTATATACATCATCTTCCAGTACAACTCCGCAGCTGAAACCAGTCTGTTCTCCCCAAATCGGTCCTAGCCTCTTCTGTGATCCAAACCCTCCTGTGCATCCACGTCTGAAAAAGGATTGCACTGCACTAGATCGCGTTTTCAAGCCCTCCCAGCTCTACCACCTGCAGCAAACTACTAGTGCATGCCCAGCCCCAGGCCTTTCCAGTTCCCACCCACATTTCTTCTCTTTTTAAGAGGCATTGGGAGAATGGGAATCACTTTGGCCCCATCTCCCTGTTCAAAAACAGCAATCACTTGGCTGCTCTCAGCCTAAACAAGACCATCTCCATAGCCCTAAAACAGGAACTCTAACCCTTAATGGGACCCGAGGAATATGTATCAATTCCCCCAGCTCAAGAAAGGGAGCAAACAAAGGAAGGCTCACAGCCTTGCCTTCCCTGCCCTCGCCTCCTCCTTCCCACCCACTCTCCATGTTTTTCCCGCACACACAGCATCTGCACACATTCCAAACAAAAAACCAAAAAAACAAACCAAAAGGAATAAATCACCTTATTTCATTCTGGCACAAGCATATATAACTTCAAACTTGCTGCTCAATGGGCTCTTCCAATTTAAAACTTGGATTAAAGAGACACTAGCAGCACATTTTTAGAGGAAGCCATGCTGTGTGAATTAGGGCCTTGTCCACAGATTTAAGCAATGATGTAGCTCACACACAGATTTTACTGCATGTCCCTTTGCCCTTGGAGTAGCAGACAAAATGCAGTCAAAAGAAAGTCAATTCCTGACCCCATCTGAAGGCACATTTGTGCAAGGATGAGAACGGGATCACTGGAAAAGTCACGTGGAAGACTCACTGATGGCTCGTGGAAGACTCCAGGCTTTGCTTACACATCATTTTCTGTATTTTGTTCCTTCCATTTTATTACTAGAGACAGTTGCATGAGAATGGGATCTTTGTTGCTTAGGAGAGCATCTGCTCCCACTGCTTATCCTCCTCCTGAAGTCATAATCTTACGTGACATCAAAATCGTTTCCAGAGCCACCAATTACAATGTCATAGAGGATTATGACTTCAGGTGTAGAATTTGCAGTGGGAGCAGATGCTCTCTTCAGAGAAAAAGAAAAACCAAAACACTTCAAAAATCCTGTTTTCATACAAATGTCTCTATTAATAAAATACAAAAGAAGAAAACCAGTATGACAGCCAAAACTGTTGCTAAATATAAAAATAGTTTTTAACATTTCCACGAGGCATCAACTGCTCTTTGGAAAGTTCCCAGGGTTTAAATTATTAGGAGGTACAGAATGTAGTGCGAATCCGTCCACGACACAGAAAAAGAGGGAGAAAAGACTGCAGAACAGCATATTTCAGCTCAGTAAGCGGACATTAAAATTTTGGCCAGTGCTGCAATGGCATCTCAGAGGGGAAGGCAAAATAAAAAACGGGAACTGCGGATTCTTGGTTCTTTCTAAGGATCCCCAAAGCACAACTGAAATCCACCAAGAAATGTTTTTACAGATATGAAGCCCTGTGAAAAACAAACTCAAAGAATCCTTGTCACATCACAAGGAATTTACTTAGATGTTTCCAACAATCACTATCCCAGAAGGACACAAAGCCTTTTAGAGGCTGTAACAAACAATCTCGTGTGCAGTTTGGTAGGTAGCTAATAGAGTCATAGGCTCTTCTGGATTTGATCCACAGAAACAAGCCAAGTGTAATAAGTCAGTTTGAAGCTGGAGAAAAGCTGGGGGGGAGGAGCACCCTTTAGGATGCAGTAATAATGCCGTGTGATTTGAAATTATTAGTAGATCTTAACAGGGCAAAGCAACAGTAGGTGACAAAGAAAACAGACTGAAGGCGGAGAAAAAGCCTTACAGAAAAAAAAATAATAATGGAAAGCCTGTTGCATGGGAAATATTTTGTAAGATGACTGCCACTATTAGAAGATTTCAAAATGCCAAGCGTAATTAGAAGCTCTCTTTTCAAATGCAGTTCACGGCTCACGCACAAACGTTTCCCACCACGTGAGCCTCAGAACACTGCAAGGGGCCAAGCAAAATGCATTTAAGATCTGCCAAACGTGCAAAGGCAGTTTGTACCAATTCTCCCACACACACACCCCCCGAAGAAAAACCCTTCACAACAACCCTTTAAAGGCTTTGAATTGCGCTGCCAGGGGATTATCAGTAAGTGACATTTACAAGTGATTAGAGGACGAAGAATTATCTTAGTCACTTGTGGGAAAGGAGGAAAGCTTCAAGGTCAAATCTCTCTGTACTTAAAATATCGGCAGATGTTTTGTTTACACGAAAAATGTCATTTGATTTACGATGTAGCTTTACATCCAGAACTTTAACTCAGCCAACGGAACTGCAGAGAACATGGGTGGGAATGGAATCAAAAATTCATATAATACCTTCAAATATTTCACTGATTCACTCTTATTAAAATAAGAGGCTAGTTCATGTGCCAAGCGGTTACACAGTACCTATTAGCTTCTTGGAACAAGTGCTTCAAGCCATATAAACCTTGGCAAGCATGGAAATGGAGATAAATCTTCAACAGCTCCAGAAATCCCACATCAACCCCTTTCCGCACTCACCTCCGGACAATAGATTGCTGGAGGTTTTTGCAAACAGTAAGAGATTCTCCCATAAACATGTGGCACATGATGACCTCAAGGCAGTTGGCCATGAATGACATCACTGCATCAGACTGCAGAGTCCCACTCCGGGAGACGATGCAAAGCCGCTGGAGACTGGAGCAATGACTCAGTGCCTGGAAGAACTGGGCACCCGCACAGAAGTACGGCTGTTCCAGCCTGCAAGAATAAACAAAAACAAGTCAATGGGCAATTCATGCTTGGGCTGCTTTCAGACAAGAGGGAAGACAGCACATTCATGGGGAGTTGGCAAACGGAGCAACCAGTGTCCCCCACCACCTGTTTCAGTTACACATGCGATAACCTTCTACCTGCTTGTGCCAGCGGTATGGCATGACAAACCCGACATGCAAGCTCAGACCTCTTGCTTGCTAGTTACTCTTGAACGGTGTGTGCTAAAGGACAAGGACACAAATAGGCAGAAAGGCCCTAAACTGAAGAATTCCAGCGCCCACAGGGAGTAACCCTGGTTTTGCAAGTTTTCCAGAAAGCATGTTGGGTAAGATGGGACTTAGATCCGACCAGCAGATCCATTCTGGTCTTATGACAAGCACAGCCTGGCTTTTGCTACCTGACATCCACCGCGCAGTTCATGTGGATTTAGGGACTTACTGCTCCAGTGCACCAAACACTGATCAAAGCGGTCATCTTCAGTTTACTGCCTAGAGAGAAGCAGGCGTGAAAAATTCACAATACACACATGGTGATACAGAACGTGGGCCTCTGAGCCAACAGAGTGACCACAACCAGCCCTCCCCGGTCAGACGATAGCAAAGAATCAAAGCTACCGCTCTCCCACAGGAAGAAGAACCACCATCAATTCAACCTTTATCTTAAACACTTGGCCCAGAGAAGAGAGACAGGATCCTCTATCGTGGCTATCCACAATCTTACATCACAGCCCAGAGCAGGACAACAAAATGACATGGCGAAGCCATACCTGACCAACAAGGGGTCCATGTTTTCACTAGCAGTATAACTGGATGACTCCCTCACAGAAACCAATCTGCAGGAAGCAGAACCTGCTCAGGACCGGTGTCACCAGGAGACTACGTCTGCTTAGTGCAGATTTACTACAGGGCCTCAGAGCACTTGGGAACCCCAGTCATTGGGTCAGCAAGGCCAAGAGCTCCAAGAAGATTAATCCATTAGGTGATAACAAGCTGTCAGTCCCAACCTGATCTGGATAATCTCTGCATAGGCTTTTGTAGTACACAGGGGTATCTCAGCAACTTAATCGTGTTAATTGATAAATTCTGTTTTAGAGTCTCAGCCTGCAACTGCTGTCAGGTAGCATTGCCTGAAGAGATCCTTACAGCCCACGAGCACTTTGGGTAATAGCTTAAAATTAATATTAAGGAAATGGGAAGCCTCCCCAATTTTTCAGCAGCGTTATTGGTCCATTATAAGTTTAGGACAAAAAACACAGAAGCCCTTGCAACCTCACAGCAGATTTCTAGGTTAATCTCTGTGACACGACAGCCATACTTGCAATACTGCTTTTCACTCGCTAGATGACAATGTTGCTTTGAAATAGCCCCTTAAACGAGCGTCTCAGCCTGGAAAACGGGGAGGGGAAAAGAAGGTAGAAGCAACAGAGAATTAGTCAAATGAAAAGGAAACTACATTATCAGGAGGAAGTGCTAAACACTAAAATCCTCTTAAACCTATATAAAACCTTAGACTTTACTCAAGAAAGAACAATGACAGCTTACATTGAAACGCCTGGCTGTTACAAGGAGACACCCTTGTTTGTCCTTTATTCAAGGCTCTACGCTGCCTCTCATCTTTATCGCTCTTGGCCTCCATTTCAAAGCCTCTGGAAACTACAGGGCCTAAACTGAGTGAAGCAACGCTGCACACCCAAACCTCCTTCCCCAGATCTTAGTTATTCCATGGCTATTTAGTCTCCCGAAGGTTAAAGATACATTCACATGACTCAAGCCATTAAGCAACTGAATTTCCAACAGCTGCCATCCCTTGGATGAGAGACCAACACACTCCTTGCCTGTTATAAATGGGAAGCGGTGGAAAATGAAAAACCTCCTGAGGTGTTTTAGCCATCCTGGCTCCCTTCACTGTTGCAATGGATCAGGAACATGCACACAAACGCCAGTCTCAGCTGATGAGCAATAATTTTAATCACACTAACTGCTTTTGTGATCACACGACTGACCTTGCTGTTACTACTGTTAGGCATTTTAGACCCATTTTGTGAACAGAGGATGACAACGAGACTGACAGGTCTAACAGTTTCACCAACAGAAGCTGATTTAGGGAAAAAAGAAGAAAAAAGCATCTTTTTAAAGCGATAACATTTATGTTCATATGGACTGGTGCAAGGAAACCATCACAGTTCGTGCCCTTTGCTTTCATAAGCACATTTTGGCTACTGTGAAGCTCCTTTATGCACCCTTTAGGATCAGATCCTTGGTAGGATCCTTTAAATCCTACCAGGAGAGGAACACCCACAGGACAAACTCTAAATTTGGAATGTTTTCAATACATTGTCAAGGAAAGAAAAAGAAACAAAAAATAAAGAGGCAAGATTTTAATACAAACCAAAGGCAGAAAAATATCTCATTGGGAAACCTAAGGAGAACCCTACATTATCTAGACATTGTAGGAGTCCCCTCCTTCCTGGAAATTTAAGAGATGTACGTGTACACAAAGCCAAAAAATCAGCAAAGGCATGTAGTATTTAACCCAGCCTTGACAAGCTGCTAGCTCCCAAATATGCAGCATCCACTCTTCCTTATCTAAAAGGAAGGCAGTTCAACGTAGAGACTTTTTGCTCTTAAAACATTGGTTAAAGGGCATATCCTGAGCCCTCAAGGACAGCATGCGATGCCTTCCCGCTCTCCACAAGTCAGGAAGGAAAACACCCAGTTTTCAAGCCATTGCAGCTACTTTTGACCCGAACAGGAACGCTCGTCGTTTTAACACTAGCCACAACAAACCACGCACTACATTTCTGGAGATCCAGAAACAAAATGGAGATGTTCAACAGCAGCCCCTCACCTGAGATCTCTCAAACACTTGCAGTGTTTCAGCATGTCCATGAGAGCAGAAATATAGACCACCTTCCCCATCATGCCCAGGTTGGCCAACGAAAGAGTCCGCAAATGCTGGCACTGCAATCCAATGTTAATAAGCCCAGAGCCAGTAAGAATATTAGGCAGCTGTGCTAAGGTGAGGCTCTGCAAGTAAGTCAGTTGGCTAATGGCAGCCACCTCTGAATCCCCCACGCTTTGTGCCCGGACACAAGGAGGCAACGAGTTCCGAATTGCTGGCTCGTTGCGAGGCATGGCAGAGGAAAAACTGGACCCAATTACTTCCAAGGTTTCCAAAAATCGTAGGCTTCCCATTAGAGCCCAGAATACCGAAGACTCTATCTTCTGATTTGCCTGGTCCGCTAAGTTCCTTGGATATGTCTGTATCCCAATCCGAACTTTCCTTCCAAATGTTTGGGGCACCAAATTAGATGCCGTGGGAGGCTTTTCCACATTTGCAGCAACATCTGTGATGGAGCAAACCGGTAGTGCTAATGAGAGCAGGTGCTTTAGCCTGGACAGAAGCTGGCACAAGTGACTCCCTATGCTTTCTGAGCTGTGATGGTGAGCTGCAGAGAGGTTGAGGTGTCTCAGGTTGCAGCAAGACACTACCAGGTTTTCCAGAATGCTACTGTCAATGTCATCTTCCGCTTTTCGAAACAAGGACTCTGGAGCCAGACAGTGAACGCAGCCACTGAGATTCAAACTGGTCAAGCTTTTAAGATCCTTCCCACCATTAATAACCCTCTGGATCAGGTGACCACCAGATAAGGTGCATCGGCTAAAGCTGAAGTAGAAAGGGTTGTTGAACTTCAAGTGTTGCAGGAGCCCAGAGCCATTAATCCAGGCTTTGGGCAATTGTAAAGCATCCAGACGTACATTTCGAGCCATAGAGTCCAGGAGGTTTTTAGTGGCTCCCGTCTCCGCAAAGCTACCTGGGGCAGAAATAAGGAAGGCGTGAAGGTTCTCAGGTGTCCGATCACTTAGCACTGCCAAGTACAGCCTCACCACCTCCTGATTAACGTAGCCAGGAGCCAGCCTGGCATAGAAGACGCGGAGGTTCTGGTAATGGGGCACATTGCTCTCACCTACCATTAGCTGCCCAGAGAGCATAAAACCTTCTCGCGAGCGATCAAGGATCTCAAAATAAAGCAGCAGTTTCTCAAGGCTAGTGCAGCACGGAACGACACCATATGACGGCGTGTAAAGGGTTTGCTTCAATTCCAAGACACGGCTAAGAGTGGCTTTACACTCACTGCTTAGCTGACTGGCATCAAAACCCGGATTTACATCTATCGCCAGGGAGCGCAGGTGCTGGAGCGTGGACAGCATCTTTGAGAGACGGAGAGAGGTGACGTGGCACCCAGACAAGTTCAGTTTTACCAGGTTCTTGCATCGTGTTACGTGATCAATAGTGGAGCTGGGCAGCCAATAGCACCCAGCCATGTTCAGCTGGTAAATCTCTTTTCCGATATCCCTCATCAGTTGCTTCACTTTGTCTTTGTTTACCTGTACTCAAACAAAACCAGATTCAATGAGATATATGGCAATGGTGTCTACTGACTCAGTTTCCCATCTGAAGATGGGGATAACAGTGGTTAGCACTTAGATTATGTGGCTCATCCAAAGGTCTCAGGACACTAGCACAGTCTAAGAATTATTATACTGCTGGTAGCTGGCTTAGTCTGCCATGCTTTGGACTCTTAAGATTACACTTCCTTTAGCTTCTTAGTCTGTGCAGTTCTGCATTACTGACTGTGAGGCCAAATCTGTTCAGCAACTGATAGTGGAATGGAGGACAATCTCCATTTTCTAACAGTAAAGCTATTTCAGCAGAACTGAAAGTCAAATTGAAAGGAGAATGTTTCCATTCTCCTTCATCCAGTTTCCTCTTTTGGCAATGAGTAAGAGAGGCTTCCCCTTGCCTGCACTTGGTGATACAGTCCTCATAAAACGTATCACCCTTCATTCCCAAGCTTTATTTTTGTTATAACGCATATACAATTTCTGGCTTAGCTGACTGCATGCCTGACAGCAATATGCACAAGATTTTTTTGCACAACAACATGGAAAATGTATTTTGAGAAAATGATAACTTTACACAACCACAGCTACAAATGGAAAGTCACATTTACTTTCATTTTAGCTTCCAGAAACACAGAGAAGATAGTTTTCACTGATGGTATTTTATATAACTAAGGGAGCACAGAGCTGTTCTAACAAAGCATTCTGGAAAACAAATGCTTTTATAAAACAGTTTATTGTTTATTTGATTTCAGAGTTCAAGAGCAGTTCATTTATGCAGACACATTGGAAAGTTCTATTTCTTGGCATTTTTTCAGAAGTCAGATTTGTCTTCATAGCTAACAGAAGCAGCAAGCTACTCTCCCCACCTTATAGTCTTTCTGAAGTAAAACTGTATGGGTTAGACTCTTGTCAAGGCAAAGCGTTGCGAGTTTCCTGCAGGTTCTCCTGACGTTCAGGACAAGGTCTGTGCAAGGGACATAGCTGAGGATGTGCAAAAGGATTTCATCTGAGAACTCCATCAAGTTGACGCCATTACTTTCCTCCTCGCTCTCCCCACTTATGATTGCCTGGGGGGGGGTGAAGAGAAAAAGAAAAAAGAAAAAAAGAAAAGCTACTAGCTCAGAAACTTCAGCAAAGCTTGTGAGAAAACAGATACCCCGAGTCTCATAAGGATTTATAAAGTGAGACAAAACAGAAACGCTTGAATCTTTAAGTACTTCCATCTGCATGAAGAAACCAAAAGCTTTCCCTTAGAAGACAATATGGAGGTAGCGCAAAACTTCACACAAAGCCACAGTACCTTCACTCACTCTTTCGCTGTTGGCTACTTTAGAATGAGGGAAAAAAGCTTACGTTCATTCCACTTTTGCCACTTACTTTGCAATTGGAAAGTGACCGTCTCTGATTCTTTCTAAATATAATGCAGCAGTCTCTTTCTACATCTTTCCTCTAAGTAAGTGCCATCCATTTCAATAGCCTGAAGAGTTACATAACCATATGTGTGTGTATATATATACACACACACACACAAAAAACTGCAGTCTAGCATCAGATCACCATAGCTCTCTGCAACATGCTTACACCTTAAGCATACAAAGCCACACGACTGACAGCTGGGCTCCAAAGGGGACACGGGAGCCCCTTTGCTCCTCCACCCCAAGCTGCCTTCCTTGAACACTCAGGCGACAAGAGGCACCCCAGCAACCGCACCCCAAACCCACCGGGACCACCTGACAAGAAGGCAACGGGGTGCGCACTGCCTTGCGCGGTGCAAGGACTGGACACAGCCCCCAGCCCACCCCACCGTGAGGATGGCGGTTTCAGGGGCTGGCTGGGACTTTGGCACCATCTTTAATAAAACTCATTGGCATTAATGCCATGGCATCCCCTAAAGGGAAGGGGGGAGCTGGTCCCACCTCACAGCCCCTGTAAACCCCCCCACAGAGGCACCCCGGAGGAGGACGATTTCGGCGCCCGTACCCAGCCCCGTTAGACGGCAGCAGGCTCGCCTCAGGAACCGGGTCCCCGGGGCCTCTTCACACCGCCAGGTAGCCCAGGCCGAGCCCCGCGCGGAGCGCCGTCGCC